ACTGTATAATTAGAAGGCAACAGAATGACATCTGGAAACATACAATGCACTATATTTCTAAAAATTTGTATGTCTGTGTTACAAAGCTTTGGAAGATTAATATCAATTAATGAACGTAAAAGTAACACAATTTCATTTTCATTTGGAAAATTCCTTTTTAAATAAATTGTAATTCTAACAATTGCTTTTATAGAATATAAGTTGAAAATACTACATGATTTGCACCACAATTGCTCAGATAACATCTTATACAGTGTAATTAATTTTGAAGTTAATAGCTTTGGATTAGACATACCAGCAGCAGAAAATTCAACTTCTACAATTTTATTCATATCTGGTATTATCATAGATACAGTTCTAAATAATATCTTTAAATTATCAGGTAAATTTGAACGCTTTAGTTGCCCTAGTTTAGTGATAATACAAATATGACCAGCTTTCCTTACTTTCAATGAGGAACCTTCAAACATCGCGATTTTTAAATTCGTTATTATAATTTGAAAAATACAATTAAAAGTTTGAGTAATCCTTGATAGAAGATGAATCTGCAATGCATTAAAATTTTTAAAACAAAGCCATGCTCCACAAGAAATAAATCCTTTAAATATTTGAGACAAACAATTATAAGATAAAATGTTAGCACAATTAAAAGCACGAAATTGTACTGCAATAGCTTTTGCCAAGCTTTTAATAGTCTCTGACTTTCCTGTAGCAGATGGTCCTATAATAGCCCCATATAAATGATACTCATATGCTTGCATCAGAGTATGAAAACATCTGTCTGTTAAAGGAGTATTAATTATGCACTGTTTATAATAACCATATTCATACCCATATTTTATTGTTGTATTAAAGATTGATATTTTTACACAATCTTCTACTAAATAATATCGTAATTGTGCAAGCCATTCGAAGTCTGTAGATTTAGTAATATTTTTGTCTAATAATAACTTAATAATGTCTTTTTCGCAAATTAATAGGATGATTAAAGACATTAATAAGTTTCTTAATCTTTTTATTGAATAAGTTTTTAATTTAATAATTAAACTATTTATATGATTAACATATTTTGAATATAAAAGATTCATAGATCTAAAATTAAATGGGGTAAGACACTTATGTACTTCAGTAGTCCAATAAAGCTGAAAAGTACAGGCAAGTGTCATACTTGGAAAATTTATGATGCTATTATATGTACATGTTTTACTATATATTTGATAAGATTGCAGAATACTACTTTTTACTGAAGCATTTATTTCTTTTTCAAAATATATCAACCATTTTTCTTCATATTCATATTGGACATCAAATGAAATAGATTTTTCTAAATGCAATTCTTCTTCATAATCGCCAACAATAGACGAAATATATTTTTCTTTACTAATTTTTATTTTTTGTATACCCTCAAAACATTTTTGTATAGGTATATATGATGTGTGTAAACTATAAGATTTAAATAATATATCTTGAATTTCTTTGTCAGAAAGAAAATAAAACCTTGGAAAATATAGTCTCTTAGCTTCTATATAATCTTTTAGTGTTTGATTTATGTACTCAATCTTTTCAACTATGTCAAATAAAGTTTTTGAACTTATTATGTTATTAATCTCTAGAAAAGTAGGTGTTTCTGAAAGTACGTCTTGAATATCTTTCAAAATTTCTTTGATTTCTTTATACAAAAGAAATTCTTTACTTAAATGTACTTCTATGCTAGGATAACAAAATGTAGAATTTAAAGAAAGTAACAATATTTGTATGTAATCCCATTGCTTAATAATTTCTTGAATTTTAGTAAGGGATATGAAAAAATCTGTCATTAATGAAATTATTTGTTTGACGAAATTTGAAGTTTTCATTTCTTCAATTATTATAAGATGATTTTCAAGTAATAATTCTATGTCATTTAAATTAGAAAATACATATATTCCAGTTTCTTTATCAAAGCTTATTTTAAAAGAAATTTTATCCCATTCTTTGATCATATTTAATAATCGTTGTTGCATTTCTAATTCTCTATTAGCACCTATACTTATAGCTTTATATTTCTCAATATCATCCATTAAATTATAAGAAATAATTTTTCTTAAACTAGTTCCAGCATTAGGTGTAAGATTAAACTTACATATTACAGACATTTCTTTCCAATGTCGTTTTTCTAGAGCTGAATTACACATACATGTTACTAATGGCAAATATTGCTTAAAATCATTTATATCATTAAGTGCTTGCCAACATAATTTTAATGGAGCAGGTTGTTGCATTGGATCTGGGTCATCTGCAATTCCAGAAAATTTAAAACATTTGTTCACTGTTATATCCATTTTTATTTTTGTTTTAAATGTCTTGCTTATTTCAGTTATTTTTTCAAAATAATTCAATGTTTTACTTTCTATAACAACAGCATCTAAACATTCAAAAGGACCATCTAACCATACAGAATTATCTCTTTGCCACTGATAAATAATATAAATAAGGTCATAAAATGATATGATTATTTCATATAATTCAATTGCATTTGAAAATTCAGTTTCTGGAAATTTGAATAGTGTTTCTTCTTTATTGATCTTTTGCATTTCATAATTAATTTGATTTATTTGTTTAAGAATACCTTTATAATATTCAACATATTCTCCAATTTTATTTATGTCATCCATATCATCCAAAACACTAAGCTGAGGAATAATATTGTCTATATCTGAGTTTAAATTATTTATTCTTTTTTGAATATCATCTTCTAATTCATTTTTCATTGCCTCACACAAAGTATTACTTTGCTTAAATATTGGTTCAATGTCATGTAACCAATTAATAGTTCTTTTATTTAATTGAATGTGCTCACCTGATAAAACTGTTATCTCTGACAATTTGCTTAACATGTGTATTGAATTTTGAATTTTACATTCTAATTCTTTTATTAATACTTGTGATGCATATGAGATATAATTGGTTAATTCAATTAAAAATTGTGGGTTTTTTGGTACATTTAGTGCTTTTGTTTTCAAATCTTCAAAATCTGAGCAAATAGACTGATTGAATATTTGATGATATTTAATAAGTTTATTTAAAAAAATATTTATAATATCACAGGATTCTTTTTTTAGCCATTCTTTAGCTTCATATTGTTCTAATTTCCCTACTATGTGGTAGGTATTAACTGCCATTGCATTTGATTTTATTAAATAGCTATTATATTTCTGTATATGCTGGAGGTATAAATCAAAGTTTATTTCTTTTGATGTTAATGATAATATACTTGTCCTTAAATTGAGTGCACAAATAGGATAAAATTCTTCTGTGATATTTTTTACATGATTATTTATAGACTGAAATAAATTATCTAGAATAACTTGTAATTTGTTGTGAGATTCTTTAACATAACACTGTGGTAATTTTATTTTAATATATTTAAAATGTATTTTCATATTCAACCATTCTTCTAATGGTATTAAATCTTGAGCAATTGTTCCAATTCTCTCAATTATATTATGGTATATATAATATACTTCTTGTGTAGTGGGTCTAAGAAGTAATTGACCGTTCTGCATAATAAGTTGAAATTTGATTTGGGGACAATAATATTCATTGCTCATGATGTTTAGAATATGATCAATAGATTTTATCATAATATTTAAAATTTGTTGTACAAAAACATGTGTTATACACCGCATAGTATTGAATAATTGTTTCTTATTAATGTTTTTTAAAATCTGACTTTCTACTATAGCTTTTGATACTTCAGTATAAAACTGGTTTGTTATTATCAATGAACCTTTTTTAATATCATTGTTAACCATATTTTGAAAATCAGTTAATGACATAAGTCCAAATTGATGATAATATTCAAAATTGCAAATAACTGATTGAAGTTTAATTTGCGCTTGATTTATAATAACTTTTATTGGTTCTATATAAAGATAATATCTTTTGCTTAATAACATAGAATGTTTTAAAAAAATATTGCTTGTAAACAATTTTTGCTCATTTAAAAATATATAGTTTCCATAACTTACATCAGGAAAATAATTTTTATTTTTCCTATAGTTTGATAATACAACTTTATTTAAAAAACTTTGCATATCTTTAACATATATATCTTTTACTTCTTTTAATATTGATTTTATCAGCAAATAATATTTTTTTCTATATTTCTTTGGTAATAAATCTAAAATATTTTTTTCCCAATCATTAGGAAATTCTTTGAAGTGAATATAATTTAAATACATTTTCATTTCATTATATGTTAAAGTATCATTAAATAATGAAATATTGGTACTCATATTATTTAATTAATATACATTTACCAAATTCGTATCCATGTCCCATATAAATTAATTTTTACAGGAAAGTTTTATCAAATATAAAACGAATATAAGTTCACACTTTAAATACACAATAAATTTAGACCATGGATATAGTATGTTTTATCAATATTTCAGTACAGATATATTTTTTTAACAGTCGAAATAAAATAAGTCGTTTAAGAACTATTTGATAATTTAAGAGAAATATATATATTTCATTAATAATTATTATAAAATTACAAATAGAAATAACATACAATTACATATATTAAAATACCTCATTTTATTTTCATTGTTAACTTTAAAATATACTGTACTCAACAATGTGAATCATTAAACTCGATAAAATTAAATTGATTAACTAAATATATATTTATACTACGTAAATTTAATTTTAAAAAGTAGATCATATTTTAATTATATGAGATAATATATCTGACACAATATGTACGAGGCAATATATTATCACTATAACTTTATTTATAAATATATTTTCAAATTTTAGTTCTATTATTTTTTTTTAAACAAGGATCTAAAATATTAAATTTACAACCTTTTTACTACTACAAGTTATTTTACGGTAGTACCTCATCTGTCACTTTAATTGTATAGTTCAATTTCCATCAAGTAACGGACGTTTCCATTTGGTTGACTGATTTAGAAGTGACTAAAGATTTAATATGAAATATTATTGACGAAGGATTTTTTTGTATTAAAGAAGACTTACAAACATGAGTAATATTTATATACAAGAGCCACCCACTACGGGTAAAGTAAGTAATAGTTAATAATATTCCAATGATTGTATATTTTATTCTAAAAATATAACCTATATACAATATTTACTTTTTAAATTTCTATACTAATATATTAAATAATTTCTAATTTAAATTACAATAATAAATAATAAATTTTAATAAATTTGATTTTAAAAGTATTTTACATTAATAAAACTAATATATTTGTTATGACTAGGTTATAATGAAAACAACTGTTGGTGATATTGATTTAGAATTATGGGCAAAAGAAACTCCAAAAGCATGTAGAAATTTCATACAATTATGTATGGAAGGTTATTATGATGACACTATATTTCATAGAATTATTAAAGGATTCATAGCACAAGGTGGTGATCCCACAGGTACAGGAGAAGGTGGTAAAAGCATATATGGAGAACCATTTAAAGTGAGACTATATTTAAAAATAAAATGAATTCCTTTTTTATTCAAAAATAATTATTAGATATATATGTTTTAGGATGAATTTCATACCAGATTACGTTTTTGTCGACGAGGTTTAATTGCTATGGCTAATGCTGGAAAAGATGATAATGGTTCTCAATTCTTTTTTACACTTGGTTCTACACCAGAATTGCAGAATAAACATACAATCTTTGGTAAAGTTACTGGAGAAACTATATATAACATGCTTAAACTCGAAGAAGCACTTGTAGATGAGGTAAATTTAATGTTTACCAAAAAATATATCAAAAATTAATATAAATATAATATTTCCTCTTTTTTTTTAGAATGATAGACCACTTTACCCTCCAAAAATTATGAAAACTGAAATATTGAACAATCCATTTTCTGATATTATACCAAGAATAATAATACAGGAAAGTGAAGAAATAAAGGAGAGTTCAAAAACTAAAACAGCAGGAGTAAAGTAAAAATCATATATATGTTTGTATTACTAAGCCCTGTTAGTATTATTCTTTGCAATGAAAAATTTTGTTACAGAAATTTCAATCTTTTATCATTTGGTGAAGAAGCAGAGGAAGATGAAGAAGAATCTGTGATATTAAATAAAAAGTTTAGAGGTAAAGGCAAATCAGCTCATGATCATTTAACTGATCCAAAATTAAGCTCACAGCCAGCTGTTGAGCCACCTGGACCTCCAAATAAAAAAAGGAAAGAAGACCGTAGTAGCGATTGGGAAAGTGACGACGAAGTAAAAACTCAAGAAGAATTAGAAGTTATAAAAAAAGAGAAAGAGTTAGTTCATTGTTTACATTATAACTATGTTATAGAAAGTAGGAATTTTTATTGACTGTCTTATATTTATATTTTCAGAGCAATGAAGGAAAGGATAAAAAATAAATTGAGAGATACAAAAAAAGAACCAAAAAAAGTGGAAAATTATAAAATAGATGATGTTGAAGGTGATAAAGATGTAAAGGAAAATGAATATTATCTTGGAAAAGATAGAGATGAAGAGCGTAAAAAAAGGGCGTAAGTTTTTTTTATTAAGTATAATTTATTAGTATTTTTTATTAGATTTTATTTAAATGTTTATATGTAATTATTATACAGCGATGAAATTAGAAAAGAAATTCGGGATTTAAAACGTGACGTTAAAAATGAAAAAAAAGCAAAAGAAGAAAATAAAAAAATTAAACAAGCTCAAGAAGAAAGAAAAGAAAAAAAAACAGAAATTATGAAAGAATACGTTGAGACTCAAGAAAAATACAAGGTAGCAAAGTTAAAATTGCCTAAAAAGGGAAAAAGTCGTGAAGACTTTACAATGGACTTATTAAATAAGTTTAAATCTAAACTTCAAAATGCTAAAGAAACTGTAGGAGAAAAATCGCCGAGTCCGACAGAAAAAGAAAGTAGTAAAGAGGAAGATTTTGACCCAACTGATGAGTCTTGGATGGTACACGCATTACATTGTGAAGAAAAAGTACCTGTTCTTGCCAAAGATGCGAGTACAAAAGACGATGATTGGTTTGAAATTTACGATCCTCGAAATCCACTCAATAAACGGCGAAGAGGAGAAAAATCGTCCAAATTGAAAGATGACAAAAGTAGACGAATTGATTCTCGCCGCAAGTAACATATATCATAAAATACGTTATAATATAACGTACAAGTAATTGAAACATTTTTTCATTCACTTGTTTTATGTACAGAATTATGTATAAAATATATGTTATATTAAATACATTTTTTTCTAACAAAAATTAAAATATGATACATTTACCGAAGAAGTGGAAATAGTTAAAAAACTGGTAGTTTTAAATTCTAAAATGTAATCATAAATTTTTTATCTATTACTTTACATAATACAGCATTTTATACTTTCGTATTAGCTGAGAAAAAGATATATATATATGTATATATATGCTTTCAATGTCGTATGGTTATGTTTACCGGAATTCAAGAGATAACTTCAATATTTTGATGGTAAAGATGGATAACGGTAATGCTATGATTTTGTGTAAATAGACGTTCAGATCATAGCTTATCCCGGGCACAGTAAAACTTGATAAGGCACTGATACAAAGCATGACATGTTCGTTCACTGATTCAGTTGATCTGTTGACAGCGAACGATACACATCGGGTATTTATGTAACTTCGTGATCAAATAAATGCAATTGACTACTTTATTTAATGAAATATACATTTATTAAATACTAGGGAAAGTAAAGTTAAATAATCCTCTAAAAAGGAGAATAATTTAAATGATAAACTAGACAATAAATACATTTTGATAAAACAATCTTTTGTTCTTAAAAATGTTACAATTATTTTTGACGAACTATATACTATAATTCTTTTTAATAAGGTATCACCATATACATATGTTCTGTGATTGTGCGTCTTATTGTTTTTAACACTGTTCACGTGTGAAAATAGTGATCCTAAGTGTTTTATGCCGCGCTTCTACACGGAGAATGCCAACGACGCCATTAAAAATAGATATACTCGGTATGCTTTGTTTCGTTCGTATATTTTATCAATCATTTTGAAAATGTAATAATAAAGCGATATTTATGTTTTTAATAACTTATTTAATTTTTATAAATTATCGCATTGTTTTAAAATAAATAATCTATAACATATATGAATTTAATGTTAACTGTTTATTTCTGAACAAATTTAATTTATCTATGCCAAGGTAAACTGCGTATTTTAACTATTGAATCTTTTGCGATGACATTCCGACTTTTCACCTTTCTCCTTTGCCACGTGGTGTATTGAAATGTGAGCGCATCGTATGTGCACACATATACTACAATCGAATAGCAGAGCTTTAAATAAGGTCCATCAAAATCATATTAACATTGTTAGGCGAATTAACTAATTATACAATGACAGTATTTATTTAAGCCACAGTAAGTAGTCAAGAAATGTATTGCCCTTTGAAATGAAATATAATACTTCACTCTTTAACTGTATATTCTTCTTTAATATAGCTCATTTAATCATAATAACAGTAAATTATCTTACTTCGCAAGATAGAAGAAGTTTTATTTTTATATTCCGATGTTCATGTACCTATATAAAGGCTTTTTGTGTATGCGTGCGTAGTGGTCAACGAAGAACAATTAGAACAATTTGAATGTATAAACGCGTACTATACTATTTTTTATTCAATATACGAAATGGTAATATTATGAAGTTTTATATTTATTTTTTTTAATTTCCTATAGGTAATTAATTAATTAAATAGTGTTGTGAATAGTAAAATGTAATACAATTTTTTGATATTTAATTCTACATTTATGTATTTATAAGACAGAAAAACACATTGTCATTTTTACTTTCAATACATGTAATAGAATCTTTTTCATTAAAGTTATTTTATAAAAAAAAAGGTGAGTTTTGAGATAAACGATATCACTTAAATCGAAATTCCAAGTTAGAATTATTTTATCGGTATATACATGTACATATATATTTATTATGTTAAGAATATACATGTGGGATACCAAAAAATAATAGGATTCCATGTATGGTAATTTCATAAATAAGGATTATCATTTTTATTAGGTAAAAAAGATAAACGATAAAGCCACTGTTCTCGTATTCATCAAATCTACATATATACGCTTATCGAAAGCTGTTAGTTCAATGATTGCATTCGCTCGAAAACACGAAACCTAACCTATTTAATAATTCTAAGCAAAAATTACTTAACTGTTATAATATATATTTGATTCTACTTTTATAATTTCAGATTAATTTGGGAAATTTTCAATGACATTTAATTTATTATAAGCTTCGCCTTAAATTTTTTTTTGTTCGTAATGAGCTCATTCAAGAACATTTGTACGATAAAAATCGGTTATAAACGTTATAAGTCTTTATGATACGAATGCATTTCGTCATCATTGATTCTTATTTATCGCGAACATATTTTAATTTGAAATATATATGTGCGTACTTTGTTGCTACAAATGACATCAACAAGATAGCGATTCGAAATATCGAGAACCACTACTACTTGTGGCGTCGTAAAATAAAAAATTACGTTTCTAAGAAAAGTCATTGAATTTTTAATCAGTCTAGAAATTTTATTAGTTTTGCGCGGTTTTTCATAAAAATATGTCACATTTTTCATAATTACGTGTCAGTGAAAGTAAAAGTAATTTTTAAATAATGAATAAACGTATATGGAAATTTATATATATACCTGAATG